AGCTATTATGGTGACAGGGACATTCAAGATACAAACCCAAGAAGAAGAGGATGTCTCTGAAATATCCACAAGCAAAGCTTCAAAGAAAAACACAATTTGGGCACAAATTCAACTAGAATTTCCAGAAAAAATAAAGCAAGAGTTTTTTTTTTTAAAAAAAGGGTTAAAATATTTTTTAAAAATGAAATGAGAACCCTAGAGGAAAAAATTGGAAAAGAAATAAGAACTATAGAAAAAAGAATTGGAAAGGGAATTAACAGATTGGCACAAGAGGTACAAAACCTTGTCTGAGCAACAAAATCCCTGAAAATTAAAATGGACCAAATAGAAGCCAGTGATTTCATACAGCAATCAGACACAGTAAAACAAAATTAAAAAAAAGATAAAAGGAAATGTAATTTCATAGCAAAAACAACTAAACTAGAAAATAGATTGATGAGAAAAAGAATTGAAGAACCATTGAATGTCATGACCAAAAAAAGAGCCTGTTAGATAGGACTGAATTTCAATAATGTGAAAGGAAAACTGCCTCAGTACCACAGGGCCAAGTGGAAACTGAAAGGATTCACTGGTCATCTCCCAAAGGAGATCTCAAAATGAAAACTCTCAGGAACATTCTGGCCAAAATCTACAGCTTCCAGGTGAAAAAATTTTACTGCAAGTAGCCAGAAAGAAAGACTTCAAGTGCTAAGCAACTGTCAGGATCACAGATTTAGCAGACATCATTGTAAAGGAGTGGAGAGATTTGAATACAACATTCCAGAAGGCAAAGGATACACACACATACCTACCCACACACAGAGGACATATGCGTGCACACAGAGGACACATATGTATACATATATGCACACACATGTATATACACATACCACTCAGATGACATGTGTTTATACATACACGTGTGTGCATGCATACACGCACCACACAGGGGACATACACACACACCTACCCACACACAGAGGACATATATGTATGTGTGCATATTGTATGTATGCACACATACCCAACCACCCACCGAGGACATATGTGTATACATATATATGTATAAACACATATATAAACACACATATATACATATATGTATGCATATGTGTGTATATGTTATAGGCTTAAAGCCAAGAATACCTTACCCACTAAAACTTAGTATAACCGTTAAAGGGAAAAAATAGATTTTTAGTGAAACAGAGTACTTCCAAGCTTGTCTGAGGAAAAGACCAGAGCCTGTGTAAAAACTTCCAAGTGCAAACACAGGAATTAAGAGAAACATAAAAAGGTAAATATGAATGAGGAGAAGATGATACATGGGTCCCCTCTGGACCCTATCATCACAGAAGTCTCAGAGAGAATCTAATTAGGTCTGGGAGTGGTTCTGTTAGTTCTTGATGATTTTAAAAGAAGAATGGAGACTACACAAGAAATGGGGAAGAGGGAAAGGAAAGTTAGTGAAAATTCTTTCAATGGATGGGGATGACCTCTGATCCTCACTGTTATCTAAGTTGGTCAAAGGAGGGAAGAATACATACATACACAGTACATTTCACTCTACAGGGAAACAGTAGGGACAAGAGAGAAGGAGGATGCAGCAGTAAGAGGGAGAGTAGATTAATGGAAGGACTGGTCCTAAGCAAAACAAGTTCTAACTAGGGATCTATAAAAAACATATACACATATTTATAAATAGTTCTTTTTCATGGTGATGAAGAATTGGAAATTGAATGGGTGCCCATCAACTAGGGAATGGAGGAACAAGTTATGGTATATAAATGTGATAGAATACTATTGTTCTCTAAGAGACAATGAAGGGAGTGGTTTCAAAGAAACCTAGGAAGATGTATATGAACAGATACAGAGCGAAATGAACAGAAACAGGAGAACAATTTATAAAATGACAACAATATGGTAAAGACTTTTTGAAAGACTTAGGAACTCTAATCAGTGCAATGACCAAATGCAATTCCAGAGGATACTCATCTCCTGTTACAGGGATAAAGGACCTGGAATGTGGAGGGGACACATATGTGTATGCACATGTGTAAGCATGTATATAGTGTATATACATATGTGTGTATGTGTTTGTACAAATAAAATTTCCTTTTGGACATGGCCAATGCAAAAGTATGTTTTGTTTGACTATACATGTAATAGAGATTTTGTTTTTCTTTTGTTCTCATTTGGGGGGAAGGAGAAAAAGTGGATTTTTGCTGATTGAAAAAACCAATTAACTTAACATTTTAAAAAAGACCCAAAAAAAGGAAAGCAATTTGGAATTATGCCCCCAAAGTTACTAAACTCTGCATGCCCTTTGACCCAGCAATACCATTACTAGGCATCTCCCAATATCCCAAAGAGAACAAAGAAAAAGGAAAAAGACCTATATATGTATGTACAAAATATTTTTAGCAGCTCTTCATATAGTGGCTTGATAATTTTTTTTTTTAAGTTTTAAGTGATGGGAATATTAAGATACTACACAAAGACCCTGCTCTCAAGGGACACATAACCCCACACTGGGGAATATGACACACAAACTGATAAGCAGGATATATGATACAACGCAGAATATTGTGGGGGAAAAGGAGAAATCCAAAGTAATCCAGGAGAACTTGAGACAAGAGTGATCACTTTTAGCTGGAATCAGGGAAGGCTTCTTGGAGGAGGGAGCTTTGATATCAGAGGATTAACAGATTGAAATGAGGAAGGAAGGGAGGATGGTCTGTTCAAATACAAAGAAGCAAATGAACACGAGAGATTATCAAATAGTCCACGTTGGCCAGAACATCCCTTTTTGTGAAGCAAAGAATTATGAAATAAGACTGGAAAAGTACGTTGGAACCAGACCCATGGAGGGGCTTAGATACCAGCCTAAAGGAGTTTCTATTTTACCCTAGAGGGAATGCAGAGCCCCCAGGGCTTCTATAAGCAGAAGAGTGGAGTTGATAGCCCTGTGCATTATAAAGATGATTTTGGCAGCCATATGAAGAACAGATTGGAGATGGGGCAGAGTCTGGAGGCAGGGAAACCAGTTAAGAGGCTATAATAATCCAGGCAAGGGCTTAACAACTCAGAGCAGTGATAGAATGCAAGAAATGCTTGGAGAACAGAAAAGATTCAGAAACGGACTGGATGTAGTGGTACCTGGGGAAGGAGGTGCGCCTTTAAGAAGGAAGAAAGAAGATTTGAAACAGCACAATGTCTCTGATTCTTTCCTCTTCCTTCCCAATTCTCCCCCCCCCCCCCCCCCCCCCCCCCCCCCCCCCCCCC